TCGTCTGCAAAACAAGTTTGGATCACCACATCAAGCAACATCGTATGCAAACCAAACCAAATAGGCAAAAAAGAAAGTATCGTATACATACCAGAAGGGCCGACTGGGCAGCAAACGCTATAGTTACCAAATCCGGCTCTTCTCGAAAGGTGGCCTTGTCAGCCAGTAGGGAAACTGAGGCGGCCAAGCACAATGCCACGGCTGGATCCTTCATGGCAGATGCGTCAGAGGAGATTGGCGTATCTTTGATCTTCGGTTGAACAATGAAGGGGACAACCACGTCGGATTCCTCTAAGCGAGGCCGTTTGTCAGCAGGGCTATCCTTTGAGCCGGCCTCTCCCTCGGCGAAATGTTTTTCGCCCGCTCTTCTGAAACCAGCCGTTCTTTCGTAACCTACTGTTCAGCCCCCTCCGTCTCGGCCACAGCAACTTGCGCCGTTTCTTCTCCAGTAACCGGTTGTAAGGACTCAACCGGGGCAGGCTCAGAACGAGCGGCCTCGGCTTTCTTTCGAGCGGCCATTCGCTCGGCATTTCTCTTTCTCGCCATTTGTGTGAGATTCTCCCTAGCCATGCCTTCTGAAAACGTGCCAGGAAGGTCTCCCAAGTTTGTAAAAATATCTTCGAAGGAAAACTCCGCCGACCTGAAGTGGACGGTGAGTTAGGCTGGTTAAGACCAGCTGCCTCAAACGCTGATTTCAGAGCTTCGTCGACCTCTTCGGCCTCGGCGGCAAACTCGCTTAATAATTCGGCATCTACCTCGACAACCGGCTCTAAGCTTTGCTCCGAATCAGAAGCTTCGAGACCAATTTGCCTAAGGATCTTGAAACTGGGGAAGACAAGAGCCGTAAGGTGTTGTTCGCCGGTTGGGATCGGGATGTCGTCTGCTGTCGAGAACGTAGTGTAGGTAGGCTCGTACTGCAGGAGAACATGAGCAGCCCTCCCCTGCTTCTGTACGTTTGGACGGCCAAAGTACTTTAGTGCAGTTTTAATTTCTGCAAGGACTGCGTCGTCAGCCGAAGTCAAAATCCTCTTCAACTTATTACCTGCAAGAACAAAGGGTAAGGTTTGGAGAAAGAGCTGCATAAAAGAAAGATCAATAAACAAGGAGTTACACGGCAACCTGTTTCACCCCTCCGTCTGGGAATAGGGTCTAGGTGATCTTCGCCTTCGTCGAACTCCCAGTTGCCTCGGACATTGACCATTACATCGTCAACTCGTTTGCCAGAGCTGGCAAGCATCGTTACCAAATGATGGTCGGTGTCCTTGGCCCTGAGAAAGTAGCGCCCGAGCTGACCGGAGGATTTGGATAAAACATAACAGTGCTGAATTGCGGGAATGCCAAGGTTAATCCTGAGACGCCGGTTTAACTCTACGATTCCATTATGATTCGAAAAAAATTCACATTGGGTTGCGAAGGAATCAGATTCCAATAGTGGAGGACGGCCCTGAGAAATGGGTGTAGGGGAAAGCAAACTCCGCCCTCCACAATAGACAGGAGAGGGAAGACGATTATATTTTGGTCGACCCTCTCCATATCAAGGGTATTGTCCGTTACCAAAGAAAGATGGACATCCTCAGGGATAGAAAAATGTCTTCGGAACCCAGAAATTCGACCCTCGGAAAGGAGGTCTTTCAAATGCTTAGCCATTCTAATAAGGACTCAATGATATTCTAAATCAAAAATAAAAACGGAAAATAGGACTGCAAGGAGAAGAGAAGAAAACTTACGAAAGGCAAAGGAGAAAAGGAAAGAACGAATAGGAGTTGTAGAAAACGCGTCGAAGAAGAGATACTAACTGGTAGTCTAGGAAGTTCAAATATTCGAAAAAGCATATTTTCGAAGGGATGAGTTTCAAATCATAATAAATGCGAGAGAAGCACGAATGGGGCGGGAAAGCGTTACAGTGACCAAAAAACATGTACGCATTCTGACACGTATCGCGAAGAGGATTAACCACCGAATTCTTGACTTCTAGCCAAACACGCCGACTAATAATCAGAAGCGTACTCTAGAAGACAGATTTTACACGGCTCTACCCTGCACGATAAGGATGTCGAATATAATAGATAGGCCAAATAGATACTGAGCTATGGAGCCGAGTAAAAAAGAGGATAATGAGTGACAAGTGGGCTTGGCCACGAGGCCCAGGAAACAAGTATAAATAAAGGAACAACAGACTAAGAAGAAGAGGTGAGAATTATTGTGCTTAACTTAGAATACAAGCATTCTTGAGTGTGGATTCTGACTTGTCCGTCGGAGTGCTAATTCCGGTACCCCCGACCGGAGTGTTTATTCCTTTTCAGGTGACTAGAAGAGGATCACGAGCGTTCTCCAGGATCAGAAGAGTATTTCCAAACCACTTCTCCACAGTGTTGATAGACTTAATTGAACATATGGTTATTTTGTGAAATAACATTGAAGGGAGGAAAATGGGAAATGTGGTTATTATGGTATTAGTGTTGAGATACTTAAAAATGGAGAAATGTTATGAGGCATTGATAATTATCGCATTACATACTCATTCAATTAATTATCATACATTTTGAATTGAGTTTGGAAACGTTTACATTGATAAAATAATATTTTGAAATGGGAATTATTGAAATGTTTTGGGGTAAATACATTGGTAAGTCCGGATAGGAGGTGTAGATGAAATTGATTAAGTTGGCCTGAGTATCCGGGGTGAAAGACCGAAAACACGTGCGGAGGAGGTACCACTTCCCTTCTGGTTAGCAACCGATAAAATGGGGTTTTGGTAGTGCTAGTTAGGTCTACTTGCAGACACCAACCTAGGGATTATTTGCGTCGTATTTACCACCCCTCTGAATTAAATTGTAAATTTCTGAATTGTTGAGATTTCAAATTATCATTGGCATGGTGGTTTTTTTTTTTTTTTTTTTAAAGATGTAAATGAAATCCCCTTTTAATTGGCATAGCATGACATGTGCATTTCATATTGGAAATCTTGCATAAATGTATATACTTTGTCAAGAATTCTCTACTGGGTTTTATGCTCACCCTTATGGGATTTTGGTGCAGGAAAGGACGTGGTGAATCCGCCAATCTAGGGCATGGATATATGTATATAGAGCACAAGGCTCTGTTTTGTTGTGATTGTATTTTGTAAGCCTAGGGCTATAACTGTTTGAGTCCGAGAGACTATTTTTGTGTAATCGGGTTTAAGCCTTGGAATTTGTAATCCCTTGGGGGCATTTTATTTACTTTTGAATTTGACGTTCTACATGCTATAGATTCATGTATGTAATATCATTAAATGTATAATTTGCATGTGGAACTATTTTATACAAACTTCTATGATCAATGTTATGATGATTGGGTAATTGCTATTATTCTTTAATGAATGTCGGTTGATGTACCAAGATTACGTTGGGTAAATTTTGGGGCGTTACATTGAATCCCCATCATTGATCCCCATCATGTACCAATACAACTTGTGTGCATTACTCTAGCAGTCTTGCAGGAATAATGGACATTGGTTGCTATCCTTTATGGTTGGAGGCTCCTCTTTTCTCCCGTATGGTGTATAAATAGAGACCAACCTCTTTGGTTGTAGATACATATTTTTTGCTTCAAGAATATATACAGTCAGTTTGCTTCTACCTATAATTTTTCTTCTTGTGTGAAGGAGTGTTGCCATTGTCGGTTCGCCAAAGCTATCAGAAGGTGCTTCTACATTAGTCGGTTTAAACTGTCGTATCTTGGGAGACAGAAGCCGATGTACCTACACCACCCACGGTGAGACGACTAATCTGTTTTAAGGAGACTGTGACATCACACAGGGTTTGATTTATGCTTTTTTTACCATTTTATTGTATCGTGTATTTCTGTGCAATGCCATTGTAAATTCCAACATATTTTCTTAGTATGTAATTTAATTTGATTAATCATGAATCTATTTATTTTAGTTCATTACATTAATTTGTACAACAATAGCAAAAAAAATTGAGAACCATTTAAATCCTTAACACACTAAATAATTTCTCTTGTTTCTACATATAAACAGTGAGACTTTTAGGATTATTATTTATTTATATTTAAACAGAACCATTGACTTTTAATATTCTTTTCTTATATTTAATTATATTATATATATACATATATATTATTTATTTATATATTTTATTAGTTATATCGGATAGGGGGAGACGATATTCACCCCACCCCACCCCACCCTCGTTACGGGTGATCAAAATATAATTTGCTACCGCCCCACATAAGTGTCAAGTCGGATAAAATCCATCCCATTCGGGCGGACATAAGCGGGCCCTGCTGATCGGATTAAAATGGCCATCCTAGTGCTGAGATACCAATTAAAGATATTCAATTTTGAGCCATGTCATTGCTTACTACATAAATAACTGATACCCCATGTATAATGATCAAATCCCTGAAAACTTAATCCCATTTTTCTCTTTATTTACTGTGGATTTAATGCATAATTTATAAAATGCTGAAATCATATTGACTATCACATTCAAGTAATAGTCTCAACTAGTGCACCCTAAAATTATAAATAAAGCACTGAATAATCAATCAATGATGGTCCAAATTAAGTTTTATGTGTGATTAGAACCACAACTCCATTTGTAATAGTAACATACAGGCTGGAAAATTTTCTTAAACAGAAAGTCTATAAACCCAGAAAATAAACTAGAAAATTGATTCAGAAATTCAAATCTATGGTATATATTCAAAATTGTGGGCCACATCTTGCATGAATCTCAGCCTTTGATTATCAATTTGGACAATTTTCTAATTTGATTTTTCTGATTTGCTAGAACTGCTCTATCTTGAAGCAATCAAAATTAAGACACCAATATCAACATAATTGTGACTCCCACTGCCGCGGCTGATCGGAATACAGTCACAACAATCCCATATGCTGAATTTGTAATTGGAACAACTGATTTAGCAGTGTTGACATTGATAAACAACTTTTGGTCACCATTAGCACAATGCTTGGCAACACCGCAGATGTACTATTTATGCCCCGGGGTTGAAAGCACAACTGTGTCCTTTCCTGAAGTTAGAGCTTCTTTCAATGGCGGCGCATTGCAATTCTGAAACCCAGTTCCATTAACTTTGAAGACATTGTGAGCTTCTTCTGGATACAGAAAAACTGCATATTTTTTGTCAGAAAACGACAAGTTGAAATTTCTCGCATTTCATATATATCCAAAGTTCCAAACTATTAGAGGGATGACGCATGGAGAGAAACTCATCCCAAATTGTTTTAATTTACTCACCCAATTCAGTCTTAAGAAAGTTAGATTAAGGAATTAAATTGAATCACCTTTTATATATTAGAGACTAAATTGACATAATTTAAATATTGAGAGACTAAATTGAAGCACTTTTTATATATTAGGGACTAAATTGTCACAATTTAAGTATTGAGAATCAAAATGACACAAAACTCATATTTTAAAAATTGAAAATATAATTAACCCAAAAATATATACATACCAAGTTTGTCGCCAACCCGAAAATCCTTGCCTCGCACCCATGCTTGATAATCAAAATTTACTGTCCACCCTTTCTCATCTCCAACTATGAAGTCCGTCGCGGAGACAATAATAGGAAAAATAACAACAACAATGATGAACACATGCTTGACAGCCATTATAACAAATTTAATTTAACTTAATTTAATTTTTGGTGAAATTACTAAAGATAGAACTCTGTTAAGCTCAAAATTAATGTTGTTAGAACAATAAATGAAGAACACATTGGTGTCATATTTTATTTATATATAAGAGTGGATTTGAAATGAGATTCTTCTTAACTGACCAGCTTTGTTTAATTTTTTATGTACGGCACTGAGGTACAGGGAAGGTCTTGAAAACTACAAATGAGTAAACAACTTTGGTGTCTTTAGAGCTCGATTGCACACCCTATATAATTTTGGAATAGCTCGAATTGGAAGGGCTCGAATGGGTCTAATGAGTGTTGGCCAGACGTTCGCCCGGATGACTGGGTGAAATATTGTCTACCGTGATTGTCACTTTTGTTGACTGTGGCTATTAGCCTCCACGCCGGACAACCGGCCGGACGTCTGCCCAGACGACCAGTAAAGTGAATTTCGAGTCATTCGAGCCAATCTCATATTCGGGTTACCAAGCATTGCGCTATAATTTTACAAAAAATTATGTAAATTGAACATAAATTTGTGTAAATTTATAAACTTACATGATTACTTGAAGTTTCGTTGAACTTATGTATTTTTATAAGATTACTTATGTAATTTTGTGTAGGGTTTCATATGGAATGCACACCAAAGAATTTTCCAATTTATATACTATTGGAAGACACTTCCAAAATTTTTAATGGGGGTAATAATACTATATATGGTACTCTTAAAAGAGTGTGCATCATATGCAAATTATAATATTTGTGGAGTTTATCATCACAAATGTCATACTTAAATCATTTATAAGTCATAATAAAAAAGAGAGAGTTATAATCAAATATCACATAAGGTATAACTAAATACCTTTTGAATTATAACCAAATTAATGTCAAAATTAACATCACAATGAGTCATAACTATCACTACAATATATATAACCAAAATAAAATCAGACTTTAGACGACTAAAACTTTAGTAGCTAAAAAATAAAATAAAATTTTGGCGACTAAACATTTAGTAGCCCAAAAAAAAAAAAAAGACTTTAGGCGACTAAAATATTTAGTAGCTAAAAAATTAAGACGGAAAAAAAATAAAAATTGACGACTAAATATTTAGTCGTCCTACATAATTTAAGTTTTTGGCGACAAAAATCTTTAGTTGCTAAAAATGCACTAATTAATTTTATTTAAAAGCTTTTGGCGACTAAAAAATTAGTCGCCAATTGAGAACTTTCGGCGACTAAACCTTTTTTAGTCGCCAATTATCTTTCCTGAAAATCTTTTAATGACTAATCTGGCGACCAAAGCTTTTTGTCAGCAAAAATAATCTGCGACTAAAAAAGGACTTTTGACAACTAAAAATTTAGTCGCCAAAAGTGTCATTTGTTATAGTGAAATTGAGAAACTTCTGAAAATTTAAAAATCAAACATTTAAATTGAAAACTATGAAATCACAACATAAAACTAAGAAAATTCAACCCGAAACTAAGAAATTTCATCCCAAAAATGACAATTGTATTACCAAAATTGAGAAACTAGAATAAATTCCAAAATTTCAACACAAAATTTTCAGTTTCACAACACTAAGATATTTTTATTTTGTGAAAATGAGAAATTTACACCCAATAATCTAAAATTAAATAAAAAATAGAGAAATTTCTTCACAAAATTGAAAAATTTCACAAATTAAGACTTTTAGTGATTTTGATATTCAGTTTTAAGAAATCTCTTATTTTCTCAGTCTAAAAAAAAACATAGAAATTTATCTATTTTAAGAAATTTAGAAAAAATTAATTTTACAATCTCATAATCAATTGAAAATTAAAACAAATAAAATCTATCTCTCTCTCTCTCTCTCACACACACACACACACACACACACATACACACACACAGAAATTTTACAATTTTGGAGGAGTTTCGTAATTTGAAGACTCTGTAATTTTAGAAATTTTTGTCCTTTCCTTATCAATTTCAAAAAATAGATAGTGAAACTCATGTCCATGGAATAACCTTCTTAGGTTTGATATGTACACAAAACTTGGTCACAATAATCAAAGGTTTAAAACCATTATTGTTTTGTAGCCAAAATATATTTGAAAATAATCTAAGACCACAATTCGCTAAAAATATTGAGACAACTCACATTTCTAAATTTATGCATGTTGCATGTGATTCTAGTTGATCTAATGTTTTGTACATGCTTTATTTTTTGGTCATCCTTAAACAACTCATACATCCTATTTTTTCGCTTATTCTTCAAACCTTCCACTAAAAAACTCTACAAATAACTCCTTTTCTAATTTCCTCATCCACTCCTCAATAAATTGAAAACTTGTAAAACCAAAACCAAAACCAAAACCAAAAGTATCACATCTATTATCTTACATTAGATTACGACAATAACCCAATGGCTAGACAATTTCTATTCGCTTTTTTCATCATTGTCATTTCTCTTCCCGCAGTCACCTTTGCTAGAGAGTTTATAGTTGGTGATGCAGCTGGATGGACAACAACGTACGATTATGAAGGTTGGGCCAAAGGAAAAGAATTTCGGGTTGGAGATAAACTTGGTAATTAATATAACTACTTAGTGAGTCTTCTTGGTAAGATTAAGATGTTTGGTTTGACAAAAAAAAAAAAAAAAAAAAAAGGAAAAAAAGAAAAAAAAAGATTACTCCTTATTCACACACATATATAAATATTCATATTTTCAACATTTTTATCAAATATACAATGATAACCTAATTACATTTTATTTGAATATTTTTTTAGTTTTCAAGTATACTATTGGGCTTCACAACTTGTATCAAGTGAACGAAGATGCCTACAAGAACTGCATTATTCCACAGGATGGAGAATTAGCTTCAGGAGAGGATACAATTGCTCTTGAAAGCGTAGGGCCAAAATATTTCGTTTGTGGTGTAGGGTTGCACTGCGAGAAAGGTGGCCAAAAGCTCTCAATAAATGTGAAACAAAGACACACACAAGGGCCAATCCAAGGTGCAAAAACACCTTCTAAATCCCCAGTTGTAGCACCTTCTCAATCTCCAGCTACAAATGCCTTACCAAATGCACCACCTTCTCAATCCTCCGATACAAATGGCCCACCATATGCACAACCATCTCAATTACCGACTACCAATGACTCATCGAATGGGGTGCCTTCTCAATCTTCAGCCTTTAGTGATTATTCAGATGTTGCGTCTTCTCCAAAGGCTTCTAGTAAATCATCAAACGGATTCAGCAAGACTAGATATCACTTACCAATAGTTATAGCAGGTGTACTTGTGGCTCTAATTGTATGTTAATTCAAATTGCAATGTTCTTTATCCTTCTTTTAAGTAATGGGATTTTATAATTGGAAAACTTTGTGACAATGTCTTGGTATTTTTTTTTACGTGACAGTGAATCAAATATTTTGAAACAGAATCTAACAGAATGGTAAAGACATTTGAATTGTAAATTTAATTTCTTGAAACAACATTCTATGGAACTATAGGTGAATTAGAATAATTTTTTTAAAACATATGTTTGGAAATTGGAAAGAATTGTTTAAAGCGTTGAAATTTTTGTTAACGTTTATTTCCTCATTTACACTAGTAATTTTCCCATACTTGGATATTTTGATATGTCTTGAAGATAATTTTATTTTTCAAATGCACTGAAGCATTTGCTTCGACATTAGTTATAGAAAACACACACACAAATAAAATTCATTTTATGATCTCATAGTTTGTAACAATCAATTGAAAATTAAAACAAATAAAATATCTCTCTCTCTCTCTCTCTCTTTCTCTCTCACACACACAAACATGCGCGCGCGTGCGCGCGCGTACGCACACTAAGAAATTTTACAATTTTGAAGGAGTCCTGTAATTTGAAGGTTGTGAAATTTTAGAAATTTTGGCTCTTTCCTTATCAATTTTAAAAAAAAGATAGTGTAAAACACGTGCACCTAATAGCCTTCTTAGGTTCGACATGTACACAAAACTTGGTCACAACAATCAATGGTTCAAAACCATTATTGTTTTGTACAACCTAAATATATTTGAAAATAATCTAAGACCGCAATTCGCTAAAAATATTGAGACAACTCACATTTCTAAATTTTTATGCATGTTGCAAGTGACTATAGTTGACGTAATGTTTTATACACGTTTCTCTTTTGGTCATCCGTAGACAACTTGTACATCTTATTTTTTGCTTATTCTCCAAACGGATAAGAAACAGTTTTAGTCCTTAAAGTATGCATTCTTTGTCATTTTAGCCCCTTAACTTTCAATTTTGTCATTTTGATTTTCAAATTGTCAATTTGAGTCAATTTAGTCCTATCTCTAATGTCCATTTACATAGATAATGGGAAAGTATTTTATTCTTGGATAAAAGACATTTGCAGCCCCTAAACTATGCATTTGTTGTCATTTAGTCCCTTAAGTTTTAAATTTTGTCATTTTAGTCATCAAAATTGTCAATTTGAGATAGGACCAAATTGACTAAAATTAATAATTTAGCATGATAGATGCTCTCTAGCTATATTAACTAACTTTGATTCCCACAAACGATGTTAAAAAATACATTTCCATGAACGATGTTAGGGATCATCTGTCATGCTATATTAACTAACTTTGATTCATCCATCATGCTATATTATCACAATTTATTTATTTATTTATTTATTTTTATTTTTTTTAATTTTAGTTTTTAACAAATTGTTAATGCATGGTACAATGCTTAAAGACTTTTAGGATAAAGCCATTACTAAAATTGCTTGATTGTTGTATGCATATAAGTTATTTGATGAAATACTTATATTTTTTTGATCAGCCAAAAACTTTATTGATGAAAAAAGGCCAAGCAAATTACATCAATAAAGGGAAGGATACAAAAAAGGCATCAAAGCTAAATAAAGAGTTGGTGAGGCACCAACTCAAAAACAAAGAGATCCAGGTAAAGAAGCACAAAAAATGTAAAGACCCTAACCTGTGATTAGCCTATAATCCTTAATTAAGAATGCTTAATGAGTAATTAAGGAGAAATCATGTGTTAATTGTGCATTAAATGTGTGAATTGTGTTTATATTTGTTTAAGGTAGGAATATCTATCTGTATTTCTAATTCGATACGCGAATTGAAGGCCTTATCGGCATTCGATTATGAATTTTCCTAGGTTAATGTGTTATTTAGATTTTTTTAGAAATTTATGGTAGGTTTAATTGAAATTTGATTTGGAATCAAATAATTAGAATATTGCTTATCCTAACTCACGTTGATTAAGCCCACTAACTAAGCCTATATAAGGCTTAGACACATATTAGAACTCTTTTTGGTTCATCATCTTTCTTCAGGAGAAAAACGTGAGAGAGGGAGAGCTAGAGTGAGAAGAGTGAATTCAAGAAAGAAATGAGGAATTGCTAGAGAATTAAAGGGGAAATTGGAAAAATTGAGCAAGATCTCACTAGAATTCATGGAATTAAGAGCCTTAGGTAAGAAATCCAATCTTTAAGCTTTGTGTTTGACTCGTTCATGCATAAATTCAAGAGAAGTAAGTAGATTAACATGAGAATTAAGTTAAGGTTGGAGAATTACAACTCAATTCCTACATGCATGCACATTTCATAGCATTTTGGGTTGTTTTCAAAAGAATTTCCACATGTGTGATCTTATCTCGGTTTTTTTATAAGAATTCAACTTGTTTTTGAGCTAAATATCTCATTTGATCATGTTTTGGAAGGTTTGAGTTCATAACAAGTCATGCATGTTATGCTTTCAAAATTTCAAGTTTGACTTTGAACAATTCACTTGCTTCTGGGGCCATGATTTTGTGAAATGATCTTTAATTCATAATGTTTTACAAGTTTACAAGTGTTTTCTTAAGTTTTGACCCAAAAGAATGTTTTTTGATGCTTTGAAATTAAAGTTTGGAGCTTAGAGAGCAATCTGGAAATTCTAGAATTCACTTGAGCGGTGGAGTCTGTGCTCGAGCGAAGAATGCGAGCTCCTAGTACTTTTGTAGAGTTTGGGAGTTGGCTTGAGCGGCAGAATCTGTGCTTGAGCGACCACCCTTATTTTTGATCCTTAGCTCCAGCGTAGGAAGTTGTGCTCAAGTGTAAAATGAGAGCTCCCAGAAGTTTTATAGAGTTTTGTAGACCGTTCGAGCGTAGGAAGTTGTGCTCGAGCGAAAACCTGTTTACTCAGTCTTTGGCTCGAGCGACTGTCGAGCGTAAAAATCATGCAACTAGTACTTTTACAGACCTTGCAGATCACTCGAGCGACCGAAGTTGCGCTCAAGCGGACTGTCTTGTTTTTGAAAATTTGACTAAGTGTTTCAACTTATATTTTGGCATTCTTATTGCATCTTAGGCATTCCTAAGCCTTAATTAAGACACAATAATAAGGATAAGGATTAGAAACACACCAAGATAGAAAAGAAATGTATTAAGTATTTTCTGAGCGTGTGTTTCAGTGTGTATCCCCTATTTGTTTGTGTAGGTCACACACCATAGATTGTTGATCCGACTGTTATGACTTTTCTGCTATTAGAGCTATCTGTGAGTAACAACTCTGTAAAGTTATGTTTGATTATAAGTATTTTTTTGACTGAAATGACATGATCTGTTTTCTAAAATGCTATTTTATGAATCATGAATGAATGTCCATTTTCTTGAAATGTATTTGTGGCATCCTTAGTTCATGTGTCCCTCGTCCGGGGGGTAACAATACCATGGCTTATGTTCATGTGGCCCTTGCTCGGGGGTAACAATACAGTGGCCTATGTTCACTTGACTCTCGCCTAGGGGTAACAATACCATGGCTTTTGTGCACAAAAATGTTGACCTTTATGGTCGTCGGTGCCGACTATGCATGTGGTGCTTATGACCAATTTGATCGAATAACTAATGGATGTATCACATATAACTACTTATGAATTTGTATAAATATGTGAATCTGAATTTGTTTCTGATATGAACTCTGATTTCTGAATTTGTTTCGGACATCATTCATAAACCTTTAGCCTGTTACTATTCACTGGGCTCTGTAGCTCGACTTTTTGTGCCTTCTTTCGGAAGACAAATAAGCCCTACAGTATTAGACTCCCACGGTTTTGACTCTGATTCCACAAGTGCAATGTGAAATGGATAAACATTAAAGAGTCCAAATCCGACAAATCTTTTGGAAAATCGATTTTGAATCAAATTGCAAAAAATGGACTGCTTTGCCAGATATAGAGTCGCCACCTAAATATTTTTGGGAAATTTAAGAAACCCATGACTCGTGCCAAAGGCCATGTGTCCGTCATCACCAAGATTGTCTCAGCTCGGGAACTTAGGTACGAGAAGGAAACGTCATGAATTGAGCACCTCCACTCGCCCGATCAAAGATTGACTTCTACTAATCATGATATGAATCTTATCTACATTATATGTTCTTGTTCTGATTTGTTAGGCTAGCATTACTATGTGATGCGCACACACATAAATATAGACTAATTTGCAAGAATTGGAACATTTGGCTCATGTTTGTTTTTGAAAAGAGTTTGCAAACGTGCTACTTGAAAAAGTGATCGCATATGAACATTACTCAAATTATTCCAATTCAAGCAACTAGGCTTCATCTACAAACATTTAAGCAGTTTATCAATTAAGCATTTAGCCTCATGGTGAACATGCTAGACATGACAACAATCAAACTCATGCAATTATGATAAAGCAAATAAAAACTCACCTAGTACTCCAAGGCAAACCAAAAGAAAAGAGTTAGAAAAATGTATGCTCTAACCAGTGCAATATGACTAGTGCAATATGACTAATGCAACACATGCGATATGCAATTACTAGGCTCGGCTACTAATATGGCATATGAATCAATTTGATAGCATGTGGTCTAGGCATGTTTTTAACGAAGTATGTAAACTACAATGCTTTGTTAGAATGATGAACCGAGCCTCAGTGCATGCAAAACAAGTGGATGCAAATCATGGAGTATGCTAAAAAAAACATGATGCCCTAAACTACCCATCATAAGCAAGTAAATAAAAAGGAGAAAGACGCGGGGTTGGAAGACATACACATTATTACAACATTTGTGCCCTCACGCAGGAGGGTTTGAATGAATAAACTAGCTAAGCTAATTATCTAATTAACTAACTATTACAAACCCAAATGAACAAATTGACTAAGCTACTTAACTAGTTATCACAACAAATTAATTAACTATTCTAGCTAACTAATTATTTACAACACTTTACAAAATTAACTAGCTACAACTAACTAATTACAACAAATATCTAAACTAAAGTAATTAGACTAAACAGCCCCGGGAAACGAGGAGTGCTCATGCATGCGTGCGGATTTCCACCTGAAAAAGT